ATGTATAAATCAATATATACATTTATATTATAAATTCACATACAAACTGAGACAGCTAGTATATATATAACCATGTATAAAACAATATATAATCACTTTTTTCTTATCATTTTCATTTTGATTATATTGTCATATTTCTGTACATTATTTTTTCCACAATTTTATTCATTTTATATAAAAAAAATCCATCATCTTTTGCTTTTCTTAAACATATTGTTTGCTAAAATCTTATCAAAAGCATGTTTCTTGACAAATATCCTGAAGATGGAACGTATCTAGTTCCGAAACGTCGGCAGTAAATAAATAAAGAAATGTTTTTTTTAAACAACTTTTTTGTTTTTATTTTTGGATTCTTTGTTCAAAGCTCTCTCTCTCTCTCTCTCTATATATATATATATATATATATATATATGTATATATATATATATATATATATGATAAAAATTGTTTCTTGGGCATCCATCCAATAATTAAAAAAACAGTTTTAATGCAAAGTGTTTTAATTAAGAGAACATACGTTTCGGGTCCAGATTTGACCCATCTTCAGTGCTACAAATAAATATATCAGGGTTACAAATTAAAACAATATAAAAAATAATATAAAAGATACATAATTACAGACAAATGTATATGAAACAATGTATATGAAAAGTATATATGAAAAACAACATAAAATAAACATATGTAAAGAAACTCAATATTTTTTTAAAAAAATTTATTTGTATGGTGAGTTTCTTTACATTTGTTTTATTTTATGTTGTTTTTCATATATTCTTTTCATATACATTGTTTCTACTTATTTTTGTCTGTAATTATGTATCTTTTATATTATTTTTTATATTGTTTTAATTTGTAACCCTGATATATTTATTTGTAGCACTGAAGATGGGTCAAATCTGGACCCGAAACGTATGTTCTCTTAATTAAAACATTTTGCATTAAAACTGTTTTTTTAATTATTGGATGGATGCCCAAGAAACAATTTTTATCACATTATTTCACCATCTGAAGAAAAACCTCTCGCTTTATATATATATATATATATATATATATATATATACACACATATTAATCATTTATCCTTCACCCAGGTGAATCCCTTCAGCAAAACTACCAACCACCAGCCTTCGATTCTTAAGAACAATCAACCATCAGCAACAGCACCTGCCAGCAGCACGGTTGCATCGAGCAGAAGCAGGAGGCTTCCAAGTCTACAAGACTTTGTCGACTTGGACTCGGATTAAAAAGATCAACACAAACATCACCACCATTTCATAAAATATTATCATTAATTGTAAAGCTTACTTTTTAAACACATCTGTGTCTGTATTTGAATTTGAGTAAGCAGTGATATAATTAATTAATTAATTAATAATGAATTTAATAAGTATGTGGAGGAATTTTGTTTTAAATGGTGGTACATAGGAGGAAGTCGGAAATTTAAGGTAAATAATTGACTAATGTTTGGGTAAAATAGAATTGTTGTGTTATGGGTCTATTTTTGGATGAGTTGGTAGACACCCACATCCTTCAGAAAGAAGCACTTTTGATAAAATCTTTACAGGACGCACCGTTTGTGTTACAACCTTGTAATTTTTATATGTTATTCTTCAAAATGTCTATTTTAATGGTAAATAATAAAATCAATAGGTTTTCTAACAATATTTTGAACGAAAAAAGATTATATATATATATATATATATATATATATAATTAGGTTGTCAAATATATCTCTTCCGCTTTTTTGCTCTTAGTTTATAATACAAAAAGGCGGAAGGGAGATATTTGACAACCTAATATATATATATATATATATATTATATATATATATATATATATATATATATATATATGATAAAATTGTTCTTGGGCATCCATCCAGTAATTAAAAACAGTTTTATTGAAAGAAAATGTTTTTATTCAGAGAACATACGTTTTGGGTCTTGATTTGACCCATCTTCAGTGCTACAATTGAATATTTCAGGGTTACAATTTAATACAATAGAACAAATACATAATTACAGACAAAAATAAATAAAAACATGTAAAAAAACATAAATCTAACTATTTTTGTCTGTAATTATGTATTTTTTATATTGTTTTAATTTGTGACCCTGAAATATTTAATTGTAACACTGAAGATGGGTCAAATCAAGACCCGAAACGTAAGTTTTCTTAATAAAAGCATTTTCTTTCAATAAAACTGTTTTTAATTACTGGATGGATGCCCAAGAACAATTTTATCATGTTATTTCACCATCTGAAGAAAAATCTCTCGCTTTATTTATATATATATATATATATACATATATATATAAGGTTGTCAAATATCTCCCTTCCGCCTTTTTGTATTATAAACCAATAGCAAAAAAGCGGAAGGGAGATATTTGACAACCTAATATATATATATATATATATATATTATATATATATATATATATATATAAACCGTTTCTACAACAACCTTGTACTTCAGACATATTATTCTTCAAAGTGTCTACTATAAGATTGAATACTAAATTTGATAAATTTACTAACAATATTTTAAATTTAAACAGATTTTATCTATATTAAAACAGATTTTATCTATATGTGTTAAAGTTGTTTGAGGTTTGTGCCTTTTGGAGGTTAGATTTCATGTTTTTTGTAGTTTAATATACTGAAACCAGTTTTTAATAAAAGTTTTACAATATTTTGTATAGATTTAAGTATAAAAAATACATTTTGAGTGTATTAATCTCATAATTCACTTTCGGCTCTATATATGCAAATATTGTCATTAATAAAAGTTTTAGATATTTTTGTGTAGATTTAATTTGTCGAATACATAAAAAGTCTATTTTGAGTCTGAAAAGAGTTATGCTCTCAAAAACTAAAAAAATAACTAGATTTAAAATCTAAGATATATTAGACAATATTAAAGATAATTTAATTTTATACATTATAAAACATCAGATACATAGTGTTGAAAGTTTTTACTACCAACTCATACGGATATAGACCCTTAACATTTCTGTTTTATCAGAAAATTGGCCCTTAAATGTTATTAATTTTGCATTTTTTAATTAAAAAAATATTTTTATGCAGTATAAGAATTGTATTCTATTTATACTAATTTTTTTAACTTTAAATTCTTGTATTTTTTATCCTGTACGTTTTGAAGCTGTATGAGTGTCATCATTCAGCATTTATAAAAAAATAGTACATTTTAGTGCAATGATAGAAATATTGTTTTGTGATTAAATTAAGAACATAAAGCTTTAAAATAAGAGTAAAGAATCCTATCAATTGCATTTTTAATGTTTAAATTTTTTGTAATTTTTGTTGTTGTAAATTATTATATATATATATATATATAATAATTTAATTTATTATTATATAATATATATATATAATATATATATATATATATATATATACCCTGTGTCACCTAATATTTGTTGTAATTTCATCAATTTTTTATTAATTATTTCTATTAACTTTCTGATTCTTATGTATCACCATCTTGTTTATTATATATGTAAATTTATAATCGCCAACAGATTTTTATATTTCCCTAATTTTTAGATCGTCATTTATTATGAATTCTACTTGGCGATTAATTTTTGCATATATATAATTCTTGACAGGATAAAAATTATGTTAGAGTAAAGCGTATACGAAAACATAATATTTATGTAGATCTATTTATGATTAAGATTTATAATCACTTATTGAAGCAGTGATGGTCCTATTATTGATTATTTTAAATCATACTGATATTATTTTATTCCTACATATAGTATATAATGAAATAATGTAGATTGAATTCATGAACTAATAAATGTTTTTTATAAGATATTAACAGTGTTAATATTTATATTATTTTCTAATAAATCGATAAAACATTTGAAAATAAATCCATGAATAGTAGTTAAGGAATTTTTGTAGTAGTGAATATATTGATATATAAATGTATATATCCATTTTTGTAATATATAAAGCTTAAATATAAATGTCTAGTAGTGTATAAATTAATATATAAATGTATATATCCATTTTACCAATATTTAACGATAGAAAAATCAATATATACATTTATATATC